TATGAATGCTTGTACAGAAGCATCTGGCTAATTAACTCAGCCATTAGGTAGGAGCATTCAAATCCTTAAAGAGATTTTCTGGGGGAAATACAGGGTAATCATCTCCTCAGGCACCCAGGAGACCCAAGAGAGGCTGACTTGTGCCTTAATTGCACATCAGGAATTTAGGTGTCGTTTTTGAGCCTCACCTGGAATAACTAACTCATTTGGTATCACAAGGATTTAAAGCTAGTCTTACTGCCAGGGTAACACCGTCATCACTAGGCCATTTTTACTAGCTCATCTGTCTCCACTGACAAGCCGGTGCAGTACAGAGAGGGCCCAGGTCAATTTGCTCTTTTGGTCCCACAGAACACATGCCCATCAGCAGTGGGGGGCGGGAGTGGACACCGACCCAAGTCACAGAGGGTATTCCAGGATAGCACGGTTACTCTGTTTCAGGTGCTCTCATGGGAGCATCCTAAGCCTTGCATATTAGTTAACCTTTCCCATAGTTGCTATATGTGAAAGGTCTTTGATCTATGAATGAGCCCAACACATGGTGCTTGCTCACTGTATGTTAACAGCAGAGATGTTATTTTTAGCTCCCGAATTCTTCTTCACTTCTTTCTGGCACTGAAAGACCTTTCGTCCTTAAGACAGGCAACTGTTCACTACATAGTGTATTTGGGATAATGTGCTACATAAGGCTAACGCCTCCATTGGGAACAATCTTCTTTGCGAAATGGGTAATAGCCATTAAAAAATCGAAATAAAGTAGTTGCATTTTAGAAAGTTTTAAAAAGAACTGTTATCTTTGGAACATGTAATTTAGAGAATTCGCTGCAGTAATCCTTGATTTAGAACAATTACTGCACTAAAGTACTTGCTTTTTTTCCCCTTTAAAAACAAAACCCAAAACCAAACCCCAAACCAAAAACCAGACAGGTTTCCAGCAAAAGCTGGGATAATGGACCGGAATGGAAATGTAGCCAAGTCTTGCAAAACTCCAGTATACAGTTGCTGTTCTCTCAGAGGTCTTTTCTCCTGCCATCTGAGAGCATTCCCTTTCCTGGTCACTTGTTTTGTTTTTTTTTTTTTTTTTAACATAATCAGTAGTTGCTAGAAATAAGTATTGCAAGGACTAATATGCTGGCTACATTCTTACAATTGGGTTTGCGTGAAGTGCATGCTGGTTTAAGAGGAAGCTGTTTTATAACATTTTTAATTACGAAATTTCTTATGCAACAGAGTTTAAGGGTCAGTTATAAACAATCTAATCACAAAGCTTCCTCAGGCAGCAGCTCACCTGTGTAACTTCTTGTAGTTCAAGCCTGACTCAGTCCAGCCTCACACCAAACGAGATTCAGGAGCTAGAATACGAGGTATGCTGATTCAATGTATGGTTCATAATATTTCTTTTGCAGTGGTGCTTGCAAACCATTGGAATAGTTTATCTATGGCTACAGTGGGTTTTTTTTTTCCTTTTGAAGTCCTTTAGTAGAAGCCAGGCATGTGTGTCTGTTTTTCACAGCTGTGGAATAGCAGTCCCTGAACAAAAGGGGAAAGGTGTCAGAGAAGTTGCCAGTAGTGTTTGGGGCTTGAAAGACTCAAAATGCCTGTGTTTTCAGTTCTGAAGCACGCAGAGGAGCTGCTTGCTATCACAGGAGTGTCTTACGGGCAGTAGGCAGGCCATGCCGAGCCTCTGGATCTGACACCATGAAACCAGGCCCTCCGCAGCCGACTCCGCAGAGGCAGCTCCAGTCCCTGACTGCAGGATAGTTTATACAGCTACAAGAAATGTAACTGTAGTCTCCTACCCGTTGTGTGGGCATGGACTGCATGCAGAAAAAAGGGAATCCGTATTCCTAATCAGCTTAAAACCACTGCTGCTTTCACTAAGATTTTAGTAGGAAACTGAAGATAGAGGGAAGGATCACAGACCCTGGTGCTTCCACTTGGGCCAGATCTAACTGAGAAGCATAAGGGAGCACCTTACTCCTGGTATGAAAACAAGAAACTTCTGCTCTCTTTAGGAACAAAAAGAAAGTAATCTTCCGAAATGACTTTACTTCAGGTGAGCAAACAGCCGAACAGACACATTGCATTTCCTACAAGGGAAGACTGAGCCAAAAGTCTTCAGTCTTAGAAGTGACCGTGCCTTCCTGGGCTTGCTTCTACCTTTGAGGGATTCTACTCCATCAAGCGTGAGCATTTCTCATTTTTTTTAAGCCAGACAATTGACTTTAGTTTTATTACAAAGCTTTTATTAAAAAACAAATGCTCAGCACATTAACTCAAACTGGAATGACAAAAAAAAAATCGGTTGACAGTATTTTTGGCAAAGGCTGTGCCTTACTATTTTAAAAAATGGGTACATCAATGCTCATTTCAACAACTGGCATAAAATCCCACTAACAGGCTAACAAAAACAGATACAAATACAGAACAATTGAAGTAATAATTCAAGTGCTGGGCTTTTTACAAGGAGAAGGGGAATGGGTGAGAAGGAGAACTCACTGCAGTCAGATTTGCTGGATGTATTGCTTATGTTTACAGAGTAGATGATGCGAGACTGACGTGTCTACTGACCAGCTGACTGTTGTTACATTTATTTAGTTCTACAGGACACTGTATTATATAGACTGAGAGGCCACTATTTGTTACAAATAGTTTAACAAAAAAGCCACCTTTTTTCCATACAGGTTTTTCCTCTGGCAGAAAAAAAAAAAAAAAAGAAAAACCCCTTTTATTTAAAAAGTATTTCAGATTTCTGACACTTGTTTAAAAGCTCATACCTAGTAAAATATACACCAAAGAAATTACAAACTAAAAGTTAAAATATAAAAGCATTCAAGTTTCTTAAAAAAGCTAAAACCAAAATTGATCCTGTCGCACCATTAAATAAAAGAAGGTTGAGTGTGTCCTCCTGGTCCAGGCAAATTCCGTTCCTTGATGTTCTGTATGGGGCAGCTGTGGTCTACGTTATTCTGCTGGCTGAAGCAGGCACAGCCAGCCGCGCTTTTGCTGACTCGATATGGACACAGATGAGACGGGGGCTTAAGAGTGCAAGGCAGAGGTGGAGCGAAGACAAAAGCTGCTCTGCTGACCCAGGAGCTCATTTGCTCTATTTATATCGGGGCTGGACCTCGTGATAGTGAAGGATTTTGGCAGTGATTGTCTTTATGATTCAGTGTCTCTAGCAGTGACATCAGGGTGAATGACATCCTAGACAGACTCCTTGGGGGTGGTCTGTGTGGATGAAGGACACACCTAGGGTTTAACAAGCTTCCATCTCCAGAAGGGGTCCTGGTGTCGCCGCCTTTGCTTTGCAAGTTGAGAAAGCGTTTCTTTTCCCACCTACAGGGAGGGGGGGGTGGGGGTGGGGGGAAGAGAGAGAGAGAGATAAAGACTACATAAGGCGCTTTTTTTTTTTTTTTAAAACATCCTTCAAAGAAGCTGATGATGGGTCACTGTAACTCTATGACACAACTGTATTAGTGGAATGTGTCCTTTGCAACGTCAAAGTGAAGTGCAGAGCACTGCTATTTGCTCTTGCTTGAAGTTTGCAAGAATATTTATGGAGAGTACTTTAGATTTTAAATAGATGTCCACACAAACTAGAAAGGTGGGGTTTTAAGCTATTTAGACATTCAACATATTACAGAATTAATTCCCTTCTGTAGTGGATTTCATTTATCTACAACATTTGACCCAGATATCTGTTACAAAATTAGACATCCTCAGGGCTTTCGTACTACAGTGGTTGAGGTCAACTTAACCTCTACTTCAGAGCCTCAAGCTCTACTCCCTGCAGAAATGAAGGAATGCTGTCTTCTGTAAGCAGCTGGGTAGAGGAATGTGGTGGGTGAGGCTTGTGTGAACACTGACCCTACCATGCATCCGCATGACTGGGGAGAATTCGTTCTGCTCTTCAGTGGGGGTAGAGTACATCTTCCAGTTGCGTAAGAGCCAGGGGCCTCTTACCTAGCAGTAAAGTTCACTAGGATCTTGGAAGGATTTACGTTGTTACAGCATATGAAAAGGCCAATAGTGCAAGCCTTCTAGGTATTGCTCATCCAGGGAGGAACAGTTCTTCATCATTAGGTCTCTGGGTTACATCAGCCGACTTATGCAACTGCTAACTGAACCATCACCCCTGCCCTTCTGACCCAGACAACTGGGTTATAACAGGGTCTCCACCCAAAGACTGTCTAATGAGTCAGGCATTTTTCCACAGACGGACACACATTCTCCAGTAATGGTCTCAGAATTATTGGTATCTCAAAAAATCTACGTTAACCTCTAGGCCTCCAGGTACTAACTCAGCTGCCAAACAAGTGGAGGGTTCAATGAGCAGAGCTTTTGAGAATGACCAAAATTAGCACAGGAATGCAGTTCGGTGGAGAAGGTGAGCAAATTTTCACCAGAAGAAACACAAAATGCTTAGTCACGCAAAGAAGATATACTGCCAGCACCTTGAATCACGCAAGGCAAGACAGAACAAGTTTATGAAGAAATGGTTTAAACCACAAGTCAAACTTCTGTTAGACTAATCATAATAGATAGACTGCTTGAGCCTGTAAGAGCCACAAGCAGAATTAATCAGCAAATATTACAGCAGCAGTATTTAAACCGGGGCCATTTATAACCAGGCACCCACCTCCCATCTGCTGCAGCTTCTGTGGAAGCCATTACAACACAAAGCGTTTTGCCTGTACTGGTTGAGTACAGCTCCTGAATAAGGAGTTACAGAGGCTAATGTACTCCAGGGAAAAAGCCTCCAAAACTGACGTTGGACCCTTTGATTTTAGTGGGCACAAGCTGAGGCCCCAGAATCTTACTAAACAAACTGACTCCTCATCAGAGGCCACCCATATGACCATTGTTTTAGCGGAAAGTTGAGGACACTGAAGAAGTTTAGCTGCAGGCTAAGTAAGGTAGGAAGAACAAGCACAAATTTATATCAAACTGTCCTCTATAGCTCTAATTTGAAGGACACTCTCCCCTCCCCCGAATACCACCATCCCTGATGCATAATGAATAATTTTCACCTGCTGCTGGTAGCCACAAAAGGACATTTAAAGCCACTGTGGCCTCTTACACAGCACAGCTGAAAGTCCACTAGCAAACCAGTGGTTTCAACAGAGGTGGTCTGTATTGACTAATTCAGTTCCTATTTCCTCGTAAAACCAGCCCAAGTCCCAACTAAAAAAAGCCTTCTGAGCTTCCTGCTTTTTTTTTTTTTGTTGTGTTTTTTTTTTTTTTCCATAAAGTAGCGCAGTGCTCCGTAACACATGCAGATCAAAGAGCTGCGAAGGGCTCTACCTTTCCAAGGAGCACGAAAGAGAGGCCAAGCAAACAGCAGAGGAACACTGGGGAGAGCACCCTGCAGCTTTATATTTATTTTGTGCCTTTTCATCCCAGATTTTCAAAGGTTTGGTCCAGGTTGTTCTTCCTGGGAAGGTTTTCCTCTCAGTCTTACATGAAAACATTCAGCTTCCTGTTGAGGAATGGCCTTGAGGCGCCAGGCCAGTAGTTCACAGCAGTCTGATACAAGCGCTGTGATTCAGAGCTACTCCCCATTAGCAGCCAGGAATGTCTACTTCACTGAAGGAAATGAAATGCTCTTCTGTTGAGATGGTTCCCTGCCTCCTCCCCCCTTCCCTTACCAGCAAGCTGTCTTTGAAGTCAGGAGGTTAAAATAACGACCGCGGCCTTGCTCTGGCCCTCAGCTTTTTCAAACAGCGGCCATCGCTTCTCTCTCGATCCAAACGCAGCTTTCGCAGCGCCTGCCTCCTTCCCGGAGCTCCTCTCGGCGCCTGATTATCCCCTGCTCCAATAGAGAGGCTGCAGCTACTACTGTAATTCTGCAAGGGGACAGGCACAGCGAAGCCCCAAATATTTTTATTTCTAGGAGAATGCTGCAGTACAGCAAATTACACAGTAGCTATCCTGAAAACAGTGTCTAGAACCCAGCCTTTCCCCAGCTGCACATTAAGGCTACACGCTGGAAATTGCTTCTACTGCTGATAAACCAAATAATACCTAAAAAATACGAATGATGATGGTGTTGCCTTACAGATATAAAACAGGTCAAATCAGGATTCTTTTCAAGAAACCACAGGCATGTGCTAAGGAGACTGAAGACTTCCCACATCTAAGGCTTCACTGGGGGGCTGTAGCTGAAGTCTCGCCAAGCGAGGCATGCCCTAGCAAAGCCCAATCCACAAGTGAAGTCGGCGCAATCAAAGACTGCAATTACAGCTCCCTGGCTGTGGTTAGGCTTCAAAGAAAGTGCTGCAAGTCACATTTTACATATGTGAAGTCTTGAGCCTGAGCCACAACAGGAGGCACTGTCTGTGCCATTTGCAGTGTACATCTGATGCAGGAGGAAGCGGGGCGGGGGGGGGGGGAACCCCCCTCGAGTAAAAAACAGAAATAAAATTCAACAATAATTCAGTGTAAAAAGAAAAGCCTTACTACTGAACTGATAAAACTGTATTTCAGGAATCACTACAGTAAAACTAAAGCCTCCTAACATGCCTGGGTTCGATGGCTGAGGGCGAGAGCATCAGAGGGGGATCAGAAGTCCTCCCCATGCTTGGGAATGAGATGGCTTGAAGGGTGGCTCCGCAAGGGCCTTGTGCTCCTCCTCTAATCTTTAACTCACCTCCATTTTTCTAGAACAAGGGAGAGGATTATGCAGCTCCATCCAGGTCATGCAAATGGGAAGAGGTTATGGAAGAAAGTCAAGAGTGTCTGGGTCGGTACAGGAGTAAGTACAGAGTAAAAGAGATAGCTAACCCTTCACAGGAAGCAAGACAAAGTAAAAATTTTAAACCAGGTGCTTTTCTTCTACACCTTTCCCCATGATATATTGTTTTCATACAGTTATATGTATTAAAAAAAAAAAAAAAAGTCAGTCTCCAAACCTGGCTTTTAATCCAGTACTTTAAACAACACAGCAAGCTCAGGGACCCGGCAGCTGAAACTCTCATTTTCTTTTGAAGTCCAAAACGAATGTTCGACTTGCTGCCAGGGTTTATCCAATACTCCAGAAACTTGGGTACGCAAAAGCAGGTCATTATTTATCAGAAAGGTTCATGCTGTTTGTGAAGCCCCTTTGTATGTTCTTTAGCAGCAGAGCTGGAGAGAGTTTCAGGCGCAAGCAGATAGATGCCTGCGCTGCAGTCTGCTCCTCTTCCTGCCCAGCTGTGCCATGGTTTGTGGGGTTAGCCTAAACCAGATCCTTGAAATGTTCTGGGCAAACAAAAACAAACACTCCACAACCTTTGTTGTTTCTAAACAAAACAAAACAAAAAAAAAACCACCTCCCAACAAAACTCCAGTCATTTCAGTAATCCGATTTGCTGCAGGGTCCCACAAGCTGTTACAGCACATGGATGGAGAGACCTACAGGAGACAGGAAAAAGCCCTCTCTGCAAGAGCTGGATACCAGCAGGCACTAGAGGAAACCTTTTAAGCTGCCTTTGTTGCCGAAGAAATTACATAAAACTGTACCCTAAAACTGTAACAGATACTGCCATGTTGAAGCTATGGCAGTAGTTAAGTTTTTCTTGGTGGTTTGTTTTGTTTTGGGGTTTTTTTTGCCCTTGCTACTGTTAGCCTCAGCCCGTTGCTGGTAACTGTGAGCGGAGACTCCAGTAACAAGTTATCCACTAGTGTTGAAGATGCCCTGAAGTAACCACCCCTGAAGATACCTCTCCATTGACTACAGGTGGAGTCTGGAGTCGTAAATTCCGTCCTCTTAGTTTGGCCTGAGCTAGATGCATTAAGTGAACAGCAGCAATAGGCCCTGCTCCATGAGTCAGAGACCTCTTCCAGAGCAGGTCAGTGTCAGCACGGGAAACGCTCGGGTATTTCAGGGCTCCCCCTTCGTGCGGCTGAAGTCGGCGATGCCAAACCAGGTGTGGCTCTTATCAAAGGCCCCCAGCGTAGGCAGCATGAAACTAGAAGCTCTATCACTGAGCTACAATCCTTAAAATGATCCTACTGGAAGACGCAGGATGTGTTTTTCCTGTTGGGGGTGGGAGGGGAGAGAGATTCCATGTTTATAATAAAAACCAGATTACCTCTAGACAGCAGTCTCTAACAGCTTCTTAAAGAGGAATAATAAACTAAAAGTCATCTGCAAGGGAGGAGGAAATAGGCTTGTCCCCTTTTTGTATCTTTATGGCATATAATAAATATTCAGAAGACTATTTTTTAAATTATTTATTTTATAGACTGAGAGCTGTGAAGAAATGCATCAGTTCTAGGGGCACTGAAATTGCTACTTCAGTTTTCACCTGCTGTAACAGAAAAGACATGAGGTACTAGTAATGTAGTAAGTGAAA